GATAGGTAGTCATAGTGTCTTGCTAGAGACCGCCTATGACTTGTATATCCGGAATAGAGATTTCGGGTTATACTGCTAAACATCTAATGCTCATATCCCTAACATGACCCTCATGCTTCGACGAAGGGAGAGGTTTCGTCAACAGATCGGCAATGTTGTCATCTGTTGACACTCTGCAAATGTGCACGTCTCCTCTGTCTATGATCTCCCTGATAAGGTGAAACCGTCTGAGTATGTGTTTGGATCGTTGATGGGATCTGGGTTCTTTCGCTTGTGCGATCGCTCCATTGTTGTCACAATACAGAGCAATGGGGCTATCAGCACTAGGAATGACACCCAAGTCGCCAACAAACTTCCTGATCCAAACAGCATCCTTTGCTGCATCCCACGCTGCAATATACTCTGCTTCTGTAATAGAATCTGCAACGGTCGCTGCTTGGAACTCTTTCAGCTAACAGCGCCTCCGTTCAAGCAGAAAACATAGCCAGACTATGATCTGTAGTCATCCGGGTCTGACTGGAAACTAGCATCGATGTAACCCTTTTCAGCGAGCTCGTCTTCCGACCCACCGTATACCAAGAACACATCCTTAGTCCTTCTCAAGTACTTCAGGATGTTCTTGACGGCGATCCAGTGTGACTCACATGGATCTGACTGGTATCTACTCGTAATACTCAACGCATAGGATACATCCGGTCGAGTACAAAGCATGACATACATGATGGATCCAATTGCCGAAGCATATGGAATCCGATCCATGCGTTCTCGCTCATCAGGTCCGATCCATGCGTTCTCGCTCATCAGGTGTCATAGGACACTGACTCTTGCAGAGAACTGTGCCACTGCTCATCGGTAAGGTTCCTTTCTTGGAATCTTGCACCTTGAACCGTTTCAAGACCTTATCGATATAAGTACTCTGACACAATCCTAGAAGACGCCTCGATCTATCTCTATAGATCTTGATGCCTAGAATATAGGCCGCTTCTCCTAGGTCCTTCATAGAAAACTGCGTTCCTAGCCAAGACTTAACGTCTTGCAAGGTAGGAACGTCATTCCCTATTAGGAGAATGTCATCCACGTACAACACTAAAAATACAACTGTGCTCCCACTAGCCTTCTTGTAAACACATGGCTCGTCTTCGTTCTGTGAGAAACCAAACCGTTTGATTGTCTCATCAAAGCGAAGATTCCAGCTCCTCGAAGCCTACTTCAGTCCATAAAATGGACCTCTGAAGCTTGCACACCATCCTCGGGTTCCATGGATCGACAAAACCTTCGGATTGTGTCATGTACACATCCTCGGTCAAGTTCCCGTTAAGGAACGCGATCTTGACATCCATTTGCCATATCTCATAGTTGTAATATGCGGCTATGGCAAGTAGGATCCTGATGGACTTCAGCATAACTACAGGCGAAAAGGTCTCATCATAGTCAATACCATGAATTTGACGGAATCCTTTCGCCACAAGTCGTGCTTTATACGTGTGCACATTGTCATCCATGTCGGTCTTATTCTTGAAGATCCACTTGCATCCGATGGGTTTTATCCCTTCAGTCATATCAACTAGAGTCTTGGTTGTCTGACATGGATTGCATCTCGGACTTCATAGCCTTACGCCATTTCTCGGAGTCCGGACTCGCCATAGCCTCTGGGTATGTGGTAGGTTCATCATGTTCCAACAACATGAGCTCCTCATTCTCAGTCATGAGAAATCCGTATCTCACAGGCTCTTGGCGAATTCTGGGTCGGACGGCCTGGATCCGGATCGATCTGGTCCTGTCTAAAAAAAAGAGGAAGAAAATTTATTAATAAAATAAAATAATAATAATAATAATTAATAAATAAATAAATAAAACAAAAGGACCAGACGGTCCAGAAATTGGACCAACCCGGTCTCGCAAAAAAAAATTAATAATAAAAAACAAAAAAAAATAATAAATAAATAAATAAAAAAAAATAATAAATAAATAATGGGAGAGATGATCCCGAAATTGGAGCGATTCGGTCTAACTCTAAAACCAAATTTTAACCAAAGTATGACTAAATTCGGTTCGAACTGGACCATACGTCGTAACCCCAAATTCTGACAAACGACAACGCGAGACGCTTCCCCGTCCATATCTCATATGGCGTTGTTTCAGTCGACTTCGTTGGACTCATGCTCAGCAGGTACGCAGCGGTCTCTACAGTATAGCCCCAAAAGTACTTCGGAAGATATGTCTGACTCATCATCGACCGAACCATGTCTAACAGTGTTCGGTTCCTCCGTTCAGACACGCCATTCCACTGTGGCGTTCCAGGAGGAGTTAATTGTGATACAATACCACAATCAACCAGATAGTCAGAGAACTCTTGTCTTATATACTCGCCACCACGATCAGATCGAAGTGTCTTGATCGTCTTGCCAAGCTGGTTCTGTACTTCGTTTCTGAAAGCCTTGAACATTTCAAGTGTTTCAGACTTATGTCGCATCAAATAGACATAACCGTATCGACTGAAATCATCAGTGAACGTAACGAAATACAAATAATCTCCTCTAACTGGACAGCTCATTGGTCCGCATTATGTATAAGAGCCAATAACTCTGTCGCTCTCTGTTCTTTCCCCTTGAAAGGATGCTTCGTCATCTTGCCCATCAAACAAGACTCGCAAGATTCAAGAGACTCAAAGTCAAATGAATCCAGAAGACCTTCAGAATGAAGCTCCTGAACGCGCTTCTCGTTTATATGGCCTAGACGACAATGCCAGAGGAAGGTCGGGTTTAAGTCGTTCGGCTTAACACTACAAAAAATGTTAGCCAGTGCGACAGAATATCTCGTCGCATCATTTGTTATTTTTTGTCGCAACTCAGGGTTTGCGACCAATTGCGACGGAACATTTTCCATCGCGTTATCGCTGTCGCAAACAGCTTCCAGTCGCATAACTGTCACAAGTTGTGACAAAACAATACCGTCGCAAGTTCGTCAGTACATGCGACTAAATAACCGTCGCATTTGCGACGCCGAAATGGTGTCTCAATATTGTTGGAAACTGCGACGGTTTATTTGTTACAAAGCAGTCGCAACTTACGACCAAAATTCTGTCAAAATAGCGTCGCATATTCCGACAGAAAATTGTTGTTGCAAATCCGTTGCATCTTGCGATACAAATATATCATTGGAAAACTGTTGCAACATGCTACGGTTATTTTTCTGTCGCAAATTACTACTGAAGTCTCGCCGTCGCATATATGCGACGGATGTCAATTGTGGCAAAATGCGACTGTAGTTTTGACCGGACAATACTGTCGCAAAAAATTAAAATTTTATAAAAAAAAATGAAATTCGATAAATTCAAAGAAATATTGATTAAAACTAATATATTTAAAATTAAAATATTCAAAAAGTATTTCAACATTAATATCCGAAACTAAAATCCAACTACATAAAACTAAAAGCAAAACAAACTAAATTAGAAATTGATTTGTATCCGGATCGGGTGAAGCAACCACGTGATCGAGGTCGTTCGGTTGGGGATGAAGCGGGGGTTGAAGCATCTCTTCAGACCTCTGATTACCCGAGCTTTGAGCTGAATCAGCTCGAGAATCACGGTCTGCCGGCATAAATCTCTGAAGCATTTCTTCAAACCGCGCAATCTTAGCTTGCATATCTGCTTGATTGCGCCGAAGCTCTTCCACATCCTTCGTAAGTGCCACGTTGCGAGTAATAGACGATGGACTGGGATCACCGGCTCCCAACTGACTCGCCATCGTGCCAACACCATAGATTCGCCCCCGAGCATCTGGTTGAACAACCTATAAAATAGGTAGACTTTTTAAATATTAAGATTACGATTTTAGAAAATAACATATAACTTATATATATAAAATTACCTCTAAATATAGATTGTTAATTTGTTGCGGACTTAATTGCGTCGATCCGGAACTCTCGTCGAATTGAGAAATATGATCGTTGATTTTCGAATTAACCGCATCTTCAATCTCTTGAGCCCGATCATCGACATATGTCCCATCGGCACGACGATGCGTATCCTGAAAAACGCGCAGAATAGAAGGTTGAACACCTTCCTTCTGCGCCTGAAGAAAAGCAATCATCAGAAACTATTTTAAACTTTACAATTTATAAAATAAAATCATGCAAATTAAAACTTACTATATCATATGCCACTCGGGCAAAAGACCTCCGACCAGCAGTATGAGTTAGAGGAGCGCGATCCGATGTAGATCGAGATTTTCGGTTGCTTGAAGCGATTCGTGCACGTTCCTGCGCATCATCTGAATCCCATATTTCGAGGAGTTGGTTCCAAACCCCAAGAGTCATCCAATCTGGCTGCTTTCGGTTTTGTTTGAACCGATGAATGATATCTCGAAGTCTATTTTTCACAGTTTCTTTCCATGCGGCATAAACGACGTCGTGAATCGACTCGTCCCAATAATACGTTTGCTATAAAAAATACATATAAATAAAGGTGATTAATCATATAATAATTTGTTCTTAAATTTAAATTACTTAAAATTGTCGCAGATTTTTATTGCGACGGAAATAATCGTCGGAAGTTCCGTCGCATTAGACCACTTTTTTTGTAGTGTAAACCGTTTAGTACTCACGTTATAGATGGATGATGTCGAATTCGAAGGCTGATCCTTCAAGACGTATAAACCATTAACTAGATAACCATTACCATAGTAAACACTGTCTCGATAAATCATCAAACTCGAGTTGTCAATCACAAATCGAAAACCATCTAAATCCAGACATGAAATAGAAATCATGTTTCTGCTAGCCGCAGGCACATAATAACAATTACTTAATTCTAAAACAAGTCCAGAAGGAAGATGCAACTCATAAACGCCAACACACAATGCAACAACTCTTGCTCCATTTCCGATGCGTAGATCTGCTTCTCCCTTAGCCAGCATCCTACTTCTTCTTAGTCCCTGCACATTTTCACAAATGTGTGAGGCACTTCCGGTATCCAATACCCACGAAGATGTAGTATAAATGTTACCCATCAAGCTTCTTATCCTTCAGATCCTCCAAGTAAAGGTGACAATTACGCTTCCAGTGTCCAGACACTCCGCAGTAATGACAGTTACTCTTATCGGGCTTAGGCTTATGCGCAGGGGTAACTTTTGCCTTCTTCGCTGCCTTTTTCTTGGCTTTACCCCGCCGCTTCTTGCTGGAGGTTTTCTCTACAGTAAACACAGTCTTGGGTGTTGGGGTTCCCTTCGGGTTCCTAGCATGCGATCTCATCGATCTAGGGTTTGGTTTCTAGGTTTCATGCAGCGGAAGGAAAGATCTAAACCTAGCCAAACGTCACACAAAAACCAATTGTGCAATAACCCGAACAATCGTGTATATCGTCGTGGGATTCGAATACTTACCTCGTTCTTTCAAGATCTGGAAGTATCAATCGATCCAGGGCCTGTTTTAATCACCAAGAGTTGAAAGCACAACTCCTCTACACGTATCCACACCGGCGGGATGAATTCCAACGCTTTGGAACGTAGCTGCTAGGATTCGTGAAGAGAAAACCGATGTCCTTGACTTGGAATCGATATTCCAATCACTAGAACTCAAAATCAAGCTTCTCTAAGCTCTCATCAGTGTCTTGGACGTATGAGGTTCTTATTTTAGGGTTTGTGGCGGCTCTCATATTAATTAGGATTGCCCAAAACCCTTAAAACGCGAAAACCGAAAACTGCCCGTAAGTCGGACCGTCCGTTCCAGGCCTGGAACGGACGGTCCGACTTACGGGCAGTTTTCGGTTTTCGCGTTTTAAGGGTTTTGGGCAATCCTAATTAATTAGTGAGCCGCCACAAACCCTAGAGTAAGAACCTCAGACGTCCTAGATTCTAATGAGAGCTTAGAGAAGCTTGATT